ATTAACAATGTTTAGTTTTTCTAAATTTAATACTTTATAGAGATCAAAAATAAATTACTCACCATCTAAATCAAACAATGATGGCATTTCACATTCTTGTTGTTCTAATACAAAATCTATTGTTGATGGTAAACTATTTGATGAACTATTACTTGTTCCTCCTTCAGCGCTACTTGATCCTGCATTATTGCTTTCTGAACCAGAGGCTCCTCCACTCATACCACTGGATCCATTACCGTTGTTTGACTCATCGTCATCGTCATCGTTTTTGCCAGATTTAGGTATGTTTAATTCTTCTAATTCTTTTTTTTCCTCAACTCAAGGTTTATTAGAAGAGGGGAATAGAATACCTAAAACATCAGGTCCTCAATTTGAAGGAATATTTGAAGCAGGAGTTTCTTGGAAATAAGGGAAAGGAATATTTCTACGACTTTCTTCTGAATTATTCCCTGAATTATCATTTGTAGCAGATGAAGGTGTATCATTGTAAGAACCCGAAGATGAGGATTTTTCTTTAGATTCGTCATCTTTATTACCATCAGAATATAATATATAATTACCTTCTAAAACTAAGTCTAAGTTTGTTAAATTTTCGAATATTTTTATAAAAAACAGTGCACTACCAAGGACCAAACATATTAAGAACCTCAATAGTACACTGACACGTACAAAAAAAGTCACACAACATCAACAAAATGTCAGTATAATATTCCACCTTCAAAACCTAAATGGTGGTTATCTGTTAAGTGATATGCGTATATTCTTCATAAAGCTACACCTAAAAAGGCTGTACCTACTATAACGTGTAACCCGTGGAAACCTGTAGCAAAGAAGAAACATGCACCAAAAGCACCGTCACTTATTGTAAAAGATGATACACTATATTCTACCCCTTGGAAACCTGTAAAAATTATAGCTAATATAACAGTAGCTATTGAACCGTATATAGCTCCACTTCTTTTACCTTGAATTAAAGAATGGTGAGCGTATGTTATTGTAGCACCACTTGATAATAATAAAACAGTATTAAGTAGAGGAAGTTCAAATGGATTAACAGGTTCAATACCAAGAGGAGGTCATTGAGCACCTAATTCTATTGTAGGTGTTAAAGCACTATGGAAGAATGCTCAAAAAATAGCCATGAAGAATAAAGCTTCAGATACTATAAATAAAATAACTCCTAAATTTAAACCTTTTTGTACAGCTAAAGTATGATTACCTAAAAAAGTTCCTTCAGAAATTATATCACGGAATCAGAAAGACATTGAAAATACTACCGCTAAAAGAGCTAAATAGAATACATTGTATGCATTACTAAAACTGTGCATAGATAATGCTCCACTTAAAGCTAAAGTAAATAAACTAATACTTGTATACATAGGTCAAGGTGAAGGAGATACTAAATGGAAAGGATGATTTTGAAAGTTACTTCTAACTAATTGAGTCATATATTAGTAAAAGTTCTATTTAATAAATTTATGTATCAAAAGATATTACTTTTAAATAGTTAAAAAAGCAATGCAATTTTAACAGTTGTTTAAGAAATAGGTGACTCGAACACCCAACCTTCCGTGTGTAAAACGGTTGCTCCACCAATTGAGCTAATTTCTTTTAAATAAATTGCTTTTACCTGATATGCCTAAATCCCGTATCCCTTTAGGAATACAGAAGATGAGAATTAATATCCGCAAATATATTTTAATTTTTTTGTTTTATTGTTATTACTATAGCACCTACCATTGCTAATAATAATATAAAACTAGCTAATATAAGTCACATGTTATAATTAGTATACATAATGTTACCTATACTAGTTATATGGCTATTTTCTATTAAATTACCATCTCATATTTTACTTGTTACAAAATGTATATCTTCATTATATAAATTAGATTGTACTTTGTTACTATCGTAATTCAAAGTTGGCCCTGATATATTATATAAAATATTATTTAAATTGTAATAATTATTTAATATTGCAATATTATAAGGTAATAATTGGAATAAAGGGTAATTAAAAGAAATAGCTATAGCTATAGCTAAAGGTATACTATTACTAGTATTACTTTGTAATTCACTTATTCTAATATTTATTAACATTAAAATAAATAAAAACAAAATGGATACCGCTCCAATATATACAATTAAATAAGATAAACCTATAAAACTTAATCCCACCATAATTAAATAACAAGATATACCAGCAAATAAACCTATTAAAAATAAGACTGATACTATAGGGTTTTTACTTATAATAACCAATATAGCACATAATATTGAAAATAATGAGATAATATCTAATATGTCTGTTCTATAACCATTTGTATATGTTTCATATATAAGAAATAAATTGTTCATGTTATATAAAAAATTATTTTTTTTACCTTCGTAAAGGATAATATCTTAGATTTAAACTAAGAACTTAGAGATTGAATACTCTTTATTTTTTTTTTCAAATTATACTCTTAAAAAAGTATACATTATAGTTTTATATACATATAAACTATCGAATCAGAACGGTCTCGAACCGATATCTACTCTCGTGACAGGAGAGTCCTTTACCAATTAAGTTACTGATTCTTTAGGACTTGCTACGGTAAAAATTACATTTTAAATTAAAATTATGTACTCTGCACTTATAAAATTCATCGTTATATATTGATAAAGAACAGAGAATATCCGATTCGAACGGATGTGATCATTTCTGACCAAATAAGACTCAAGCTTATCATCTTAAACCACTCGATCAATTCTCTTGAAAAACATACTTTATTTTTGCTTCGGATTATTATGATTCGAACATAACTTCTTCCCAACCCAAATGAGACGCCTTACCAACCCGGCCCTAATCCGTTCCAATCTAACAAAAGTATTTAATATCCAAGAGTACTCAGATTTGAACTGAGAACTGGGAGGTTGAAGCTCCTTATTTTACCATTAAACTATACTCTTTTGCTTTTTTTTTTATAAGCAGTAAAAAAAAGAACTTATTTGAAGCCTAGATAAAGACGATAGTCTTTTTTTATAAGGCTTAGTGCTTCTTGATTAGGCTTCAAATAATTCTTTTTTAAAGCGCCTTTGGCTTATTTTTAATAGCGCTTTATTTTTATTTATTACCCTTCGGTTTTTAATTTTTTCCTTCCAACGTAGTGAAGGAAAAAAATCCTGGGTCAGGCATAAAGCTCCACTGACCTTAATAAAAAAAGAACTTATTTTTTTTAAGGGCGAAAGGCAAAAAATAAATAAAAATTTATACAAGGGGGTACGTCTTGAACATAATATCACTATTTATATAAAAAACGTTAAACTATTTAAAGGTATTTTTCTTTTTATTATTACCATCCTATGAAATTAGGAGATTTAAGTTTATAAATTCCCTCCTATTATGCAAAACTAACTACGGAAAAGAGGTGAATCGAACACCCAAGTGCATAACACAACCTTTAGCAAAAGCCTTACCCTACCAATGGAAACTTTTCCTTTTAATGAAAATTTAGTCTTTAAAAAGCATTAATTGAAGTTTAATTAATAAATACTAGGCTTTGTACAAAGACAATAGTTTTTATATGGGCTTCAAATAAGTTCTTTTTTTTTTTCTGCTGATTCACATATTTAAGAACGCTACACCCTAAAAAATAAACTAAAAAAAAATTAAAAGACTATCGAATCAGAACGGCCTCGAACCGATATCTACTCTCGTGACAGGAGAGTCCTTTACCAATTAAGTTACTGATTCTTTAATTACGACCAGTGGGAATCGAACCCACACGCTCTGTTTGGAAGACAGCAATCCTACCATTAAATGATGGTCGTTCTTCTATTTAAAAATATACTTAATGACTTTATGAAGAAAAAACTTCTACATCTCTATAATAAACCTGTCGTTGTACATCTGGGATATATAAGATTCGAACCTATATAAAGATGATTAAAAGTCATATGCATTACCCTTATGCTAATATCCCTCATATTATAAGAGAAAGGTTCGCTTATCTAATTTATACTTGCTACCAATTTTATTAAAATTTGAGTATATATGCCTTAATTTATTAGTATAATAACTCAAATATAACCACAGTTTATTATTTTTCTGTTATAAAATTTGTGATCTTTTCGTAGGTAAAAAAAAAATAATTAATTTAAGCCTATATAAAAACCACTACTTTTTTTGCAAGGCTTAATATTTTTTGATTAAATTAATTATTTTTTTAAGGCTCAGCAAGCACAAAACTTTACAACAGAAAGTAGAAAAATAAGGAGTCAATTAATTAGTGCCCCTCCGGGGCCAAAATCGAATCATAGTATAATTATACTAAATAAGGGATATTAAACTAGTTTATAGACTAGTTTAATATACAAAACTAGTTTATTTTAAGCAATACTAATTTAAATAATACGCCCCTAAGATGAATCGAACATCTATCATAATATTAACAGTATTAAGCTCTACCGTTGAGCTATAGAGACTTAGGAGACAAGAGATTCGAACTCTTAAAGCCGCTAGACTACTGAGTTTACAGCTCAGCCCTTCTTACCAATAAAGGGAGTCTCCTTATTAAAAGTATATACTAATTTATTCAGACAAAAATAGATCTAAATAATAATAGTACTCTCTTAAAGAGTTATTTTAACCTTAAAAAGTATAAAAAATTATCTAAATATGGTTTATCATTCAAAGGACTTTTTTTTTTATTCTTCAGGTTTTTAAAAATGAATTTAAGCCTACATAAAACCCATTAGTTTTATTATAGGGCTTAATGCTTTTTTACTTTAAATTCATTCTTTTTTTTTACCCTATTCTAAATAATAAAAGTCAAAAGTCAGAAAAACCCAAAAGGTTCAGCTGATAAACATCGGGAATCTACCTATTTTATTCGGAGATTAGAGATTCGAACTCTTTCGAGAGCTTAATTTATATATTGCTCTTATTAATAAATTGCTTATTAATAATAAACCGTTTTACCTATAAACGGAATCTTCCTTATTTGCGGTTAAATTCATATTTCCCGGGCAACTTCCACTACCCGAACCGTATTTCGACTTAACACCAATTAGAATCGCGCATACGAAGAATTCTACTATAAGATCTAAATCCTATTATTAAGTACTTATAATAGAAAAGCAAACTTATTGCGCTAACTCCTTTCAGCATGCGACGAGTGGTTAGTACCAATCCGAAGTTAGATTCACCGTGACATGGTGATTCACGATTACTAGCAATTTCTTATTCATGCAGCCGAATTTCAGACTACAATCCTTTCCTAATTATATCCTATTTTTTGAGATTAGCTTAGACTCGCATCTTTGCTTCTCTTTGTGGAGGAGAATTGTGGCACGTCTATAGCCCACAATATTAAGGCCATGATGACTTGTCTTATTCCCTTTTCTTCATACCATTGTAGTGTGTATGAAATGCTCTATTTTATGTTAGAGAAAAACCAAGGTTTTTCATCCTTTGAATAAATAAAGCCAGGGTATTCGTTAATTACACGGTCGGAACCGCAGTTTCATAACATTAACTGAAAACAGCCGTGCAACACTTGTATTATTCAACACAAACTACCGCTCTTTACGATCATAATAGTTTGCTAAAGAATAACATTCAAATTGTGGTAAGGTTTTTCGTGGGCCACCGAATTAAATAACATACTTCACTGCTGGGGTCAGAAACGGTCTAGTGATTTCAGTTCCTGCGTTGCCGCATTACTCTTGAGGTGAAATGCTTACACTTTCATTTATAAACCAAGTAAATATACCTAATCTATGGCATTCATCATTCTCTGCAAAGACTACTAGGGTATCTAATCCTGTTCGTTATCTGTGCCTTCGTCCTTTAACGTCAGTTTTTTACATAAGAGGTTGCCTTCGCCTTTACCAGTCCCCTGGGTATTACCAAATATTAACTCTTCACCCTAGGTACGACCTCCCCATATCAAACTCTAGTAGTGATGTACTCTTATTTTAAGTCATTTACTACCGTCTAAGTACCCTTTAAACCTATTTAAGATGAATAACACTAGGCTCTTACGTATTACCGCGACTGCTGGCACGTAATTAGTCAAGCCACAATATGCATACCGTCATTATCAATATACACTTAGAACTTTATTTGATAAATCAATTTAAAGAACTGTTATAATTAAAGTTTAATTATAACTAATCTTCGTTCTCCGAAGTTGCCAGTTCAGCCGTTAGGCCATTGACCAAAATTCCTCACTGCTGTACACAATTGCCTTGGGGTTTTTTCAGTCCCAATGTGGTCGATCAACCTTTCAGCTTCGACTACGAGAATTAAAAGCTTGTTAAGAAGCAACCTTAACAACTACCTATCCCGACGATACTTCCCTAAGTCCTCTTAAAGCGGTGATTTTTTCACCTTTTGTTATGAGGGATTTATCCCTCTCTTTAAGGCCGGCTGGGTATCTATACTCACCTGTACACCACTTTTAATAATAATAAAACACGAGCTTACGCCTAGTTTTTATTTTATTAAACGTTCGATTAGCATGTGTCAAGCCCTTCGACAGCGTTCAATCAGAGCCATCACCAAACTCACCCTTATATACACATTATTAGAATGTGGATGGTAACATCCATCACTAGATTATTTTAGCGGTTTTTAATATATAATTCACTATATAATTTATACTTTTTTAAATTTTTTTTATTAGGATAAACTCAAGCTATCTCTAGTTAATATGTCTCTCTAAATTATCGTTTTATGTAAGTTTTGTATAGCTAGCTTTTAAATTATATTTATGACTATTTACATTTAATTTATTATAATTTCTACTTAATACCTAAAACTTTTACTTTAAGTAATTATATATACAAACATATTGTTTACTATAACTTTCCTTAAATACTTTTAAATTTAATTTATTTTTTATCTCTAATAAAAACAATCTAAAGGCTTAAGCCAAAAATACCTATAGCTACGAACACTAAACGGACAGATTTTTTATTTAAAATGAGCCCTTTTTAGCCTTAAAAAAAAGAAGTTATTTTTTTAGCGAAGCTTTTATTGACTATTTAAATTTATTTTTCTTATTATTAACAGGTTATATTTGTTAGCAAAGCCAAAAAAGAAACTCCGTTAATATTCCCATTTTAGATTCGAACTAAAATCAGGATATTAGAAGTATCCTGCTCTACCATTGAGCTAATGAGAATAGTTATATTAAAAAAAAATAAATATATAATATACGATAGGCTTTTTTTATTTCTCTACTTTTCTCAAGGTTTTTGGTTACTAATTTAAAATAAATAGGGCTTTAATCTATTTAACAATAATGAACATTAAAAATTAAATAGAACTTCTCCATATTTCTTCCAAAAGAAGGGTCTAATATAAATTATAATATTAGGTTTTTATTTCATTTATTAAAATTATAAAGATAAAAATACTTACTATTAATTAATATTAATGTAAATCTAATCCATCTTTTATATAACCAGAAGATAATACTACAAACACTTGTGCTTGTATAAAGGCTATACCTAACTCTAAACCTGAGAAAGCTATAATAAAAGATAAAGGTACTAATCCTAAAAAGAAGAATATTATACCACTTGTCATAATATTGTAAGTAAAACCTGCTAATATATTTAATAACATATGACCAGATAATATGTTAGCTGCTAATCTTAAACCTAAAGAAATATTTCTTGCTAAGTAAGAAATAAATTCAATAAGAACTAATAAAGGTAATAAAGCTAAAGGACAACCTGCTGGTACTAAAAGAGAAAAGAACACTAAACCGTGTTTTTGGAACCCTAATATTGTAGCACCTAAAACTATAGTAAAACTTAAAGCAAATGTTAATACAAAGTGACTTGTAGAAGCAAAACTGTAAGGAACCATACCTATTAAATTATTAATTAATATGAATATAAATAAAGCGTATATAAATGGGAAGTACATTTGTCCATTTTTAGGGTTTATTTGATTTGTAACTATACTATGAATAGTTGCGTATAAAGATTCTTGGCTTATAGATCATTTATTACCAACTAATCTGTTATAGTTTGTACTTAAAAGATTAAGAGCTAAGATGAAAAAAGCTCCTAATGTTAAAAATAATCCTATACTTGTTATAGAAATATGTAAATTTCCTAATATAGGTGCGTCTAAACTTAATAAGTCTCTAATTTCAAATTGATCTAGAGGACTAATTATTTCTCTATCTAGAGTAAATGCAAAAAATTTTTCCATGTTAAAGTTATATAATTAGATTCAATAAACATAAAAAGAACTATTGAAAAATAAATCTTGACAAAGTTATTTTATACTATACTTTAATTAAAAAGTTTAGATATAAAAGTACGTGCTAAAAATAAACGAACAAATCTTGGTAAAATATATTTAGATAACATATATACTGTTATAAGAATTACTGCAAAAGCAAAAGTAACTTCATTTACAAAGTAAAAAGGTGTTAATTGTGGCATAATATAAAAAGAATTTAATTATAAATGTTATAATAAGCGTGACCCAGAACATTTGCGTTTAGTACAAAACGAATATAAAAAAAAAGAACTGAATAGATAATTTTCTCTTTATTATACTTTTTACTTCATAAGGCTTATAAAAAGTTAATCAAATTAGGGATTACACCACTAGAATTTATAATTAGTAGATTAAGCAACATATCCGCTATAAATTAAACTAGATACGCTATAATGTAACCCGTCTAAAATTATAGAAGGATATACACCTAACACTACAGTAAACGCTACTAGTACAAATAATAAGAAGAATTCTCTTTTACTTAAATCACTTATACTTTCTTCAAAGAATTTAGTAAAAGATCCTCCAAAAGATATTCTGTTAAACATATATATAGTATATGCTGCAGAGAATACTATAGAAGAACTAGCAAATACACCTAAAATAGGTAATCTTTCAAATACACCATATAATGACATAAATTCACCTATGAAATTTAATGTTAAAGGAGCTCCACAATTACCTAAACAAAGTATAAAGAATAACATAGAGAATAAAGGCATCATTTGAGTAACACCTTTATAGTAATGTATTAATCTAGTACCACTACGGTCATATAATACCCCTCCAGCACAAATAAATAAACCACTAGACACAAATCCGTGAGCTAAACCTAATAATATTCCTCCTTCTATACCTTGTATTGTATTACTAAATACTCCTATTAAATATACAGCAGCGTGAGATACAGAACTATAAGCTATTAATTCTTTAACATCTGTAGTTCTTAATGTACTAAAACTAGCATATATTATTGTAATAACACCTATCACAAAAACTATAAATGTATAATCTAAAGAAGCTTTAGGTAATATAGGTAATATTAATCTAAATATACCGTATAAACTTAATTTTAAAACAATACCTGCTAATACTATACTTCCACCTAAAGGTGATTCAACGTGAGCTTTTAACAATCAGTTATTTAAAAAAATAGTAGGAGTTTTAACTGCAAATGCTATAAATATACCAATAAATAAAAATACTTGTGTAGTATAATCAAAATTAGTTTTAAATAAAGCATCGAAATCAGTAGTACCCATTATAGAAGACATAGTTAATATTGATAATAATAAAAATAAAGATCCGAATAATGTATATAAGAAAAGGTAGAAACTAGCTCTTACTTTATTACTAGATCCAAATAAACCTATTAATATAAATAAAGGAGGTAATATACTTTCAAAGAAAATATAGAATAATAATATATCTAAAACTAAAAACACAGCTATAAGTAATGTTTCTAATAATAACATAATTATTAAATAAGATTTCACATTTTCAGTTATAGAATTTCAATTAGATACTATAGCTATAGGCATAATTATTGTAGTTAATAAAACAAAATATATAGATATCCCATCTACTCCTAAGTAGATATCAAATAAATTTATATTATAATGTTCTTGTACAAATTGGAATTGATTAGAACTAAAATCAAATAATATAAATATAACTAATGAAATTACTAAGTTAACAAGAGATGTAACAAGAGCTGTAATTTTGTAAGACAGTATTTTTGAAGATGCAGTATCTGCATTTTCATAAGACATATTACTAGATATTAAAAATATTCCTAAAATAGGAATTAATAATAAAGAAGATAATAACATTATTATCTTTAATAAAAAAAAACTTCCCATGTAATTAAACAAAAATTACATCATAAGTAAACAGTTACATGATAATATAAGATCTAAATATTAGAAATTATTTATTTTAAGGCTATCTTCGCGTAAAAAAATTATTTTTAACCTTAGACTATTATGTCTTTAAGGATTAGTTTTTCTGGTAGGCAAAACCTAAGCCTTCAAAGGAGGCTTTTTTAAAGCCTCCGCAAGCACAAAATTCAATAAAATAACGTACAACTAATTAAATAGCGTGCTTGCGCTAAAAAATAAAGATATATTAAAAAGGCTTTATTTTTAAATCGCTTGTTATTAGAACAAGCTTATATTTACAGGGAATATATCAAAACTATATAAAATACAAGGAACTAAAATTATAAATGCAAACACTATTGGTAATAAAACTGTTCAACAGAAAGACATTAATTGATCAAAACGTATTCTAGGGAAAGATGCTCTTACTCAAATAAAAGTAAATATTAATAAAGAACTTTTGAATCCTAAACTAAACCCATACATAAATCCTTCTAATAAAGGAGTATTCATTGTATCCTCAAGGAAGTAATCTAAAACTAAAAGTCAATCTATAACAAAAATTTGTCATATTATATGATCTAAGTAAGTTAATATATTAATGAAATCTATAAATAAATAACCACCTAAGAATAAAATACTTGTTAATATACACATTAAAACGATACTAGAGTATTCGGCCAAAAAGAAGAATACAAAAACAACCGCAGCGTGTTCTGTCATAAACCCACTAACTAATTCAGATTCAGCTTCAGCTAAATCAAATGGAGGTCTATTTGTTTCTGCCACAGAACCTATAAAAAATATAATGAAAACAGGTAATAAAGGTAATAAGAATCAAACTGCTCTTTGTGATTCTACGTTTACAGTTAAATTTAAACTACCTGTAAAAAAAACAACTAATAATATAGCAGAACTTAATATTAATTCATAACTAATTAATTGAGCTGTACTTCTTAAAGAACCTAAGAAAGCATATTTACTATTAGCACTTCAACCTGCTAATAATATACCATATGTAGCTAAAGATGATACAGCTAACATATATAGTATACCTAAATTAAAATCACTAATAGCTAAACCAGGTCCGTAAGGGATAACTCCAAAACCTAATAATGCAAAAACTAAAGTAATAACAGGACCTAAAAAGAATAATATTATGTTAGCTTGTGTAGGTGCAACATATTCTTTTAAAAGAAGTTTTAAAGCATCGGCAAATGCTTGTAATAATCCATAGTATCCTACTGCATTAGGACCTAATCTTCTTTGCATACTTGCCATAGTTTTTCTTTCTGCTACAGTAACATAAGCTACACTAAGTAAAGCGGGAACAACAACCAAAAGAACTTCAATAATTGAGATAAGAGTTGGCATATAAAACATTAATTATAAAAAAAGTATTTTTCTATTTATTATCCATAAGAATGAAATAGTAAATAAAAATTAAAAGTAAATATATATATAAAATTCAAAATTTATTTTACTTATTATTAACAGGTTATATTTGTTGGGTATAAATTTTTTATTCTCCACAAAAAAAAGAAACTCCGTTAATATTCCCATTTTAGATTCGAACTAAAATCAGGATATTAGAAGTATCCTGCTCTACCATTGAGCTAATGAGAATTCTAAATCCATTAAAAAATGAATTTATTAATATGTGCTTACGCCTCATAATCTTAGGTTAAAAATAAATTAGATATGTATTATTTATTCGGCTTTACCTTTACCTTTATTTTTACTTTCAGTTTCTAATTGAGATATTTTATTATCACAAGTTTCAATTTTTTCTTGTAAATAACTTATTTGTTTATCAGCTTCAAGTGAAACACCTGTTTTATATATTTCTATAGCATCTTCAAAATTTTTTTTTATATTTTGAATATTTTCAATATCATTTTTTTCATTTAAAAATCCCTTAAATTCTTCTGGGTTTGCACCCATAGTATAGGAAGTTTCATCATATTCTTCTTCTCATTCATATTGTTGACTAGACTCTGAG